TGGAAAGCGTAAGTCACATGAAATACAGAAACATACTGCTGTCATGCGGGCTTCCAAGGAAATGCTGGCCCTTCCCCGCTGGCCCCACGCCCCCCAGCTCCCTCCTGCCCACATGAGAGCTGGTCACTCCGCCCACAGGGTCCATCCTGCTGGGGTTCACCCTGCGCTCCTGGAGTTAGGGTTTTCAACACATTTTAAGATTCACTTGAGGTTTTTCTTTAAAAAAAAACTTTCTTTCTAGAGAGAAGAAAAGGGAGGGAGTTGAGAGAGAGAGACACACTGATGTGTGGTTGCCTCTCACACACCCACACTGGGGACCTGGCCCGCAACCCAGGCATGTGCCCCGGCTGGGAATCGAACCCACGACCTTTGGTTCGCAGCCCTCACTCAACCTACTGAGCTACACCAGAGGGCTCATTTGAGGGGTTCTAAGTATGCTCTGTTTTAGTATAACCATCTCTGAGAAAGAGACAAATGTGTCCTAATCATCGTTTCCTGTCAAAACTTGTGTTACGACCAACAGAGGAGCGAGGGAAGCAATAGGGAAAAGTTTTAAAAATATTTTAAATAGATTCTGCAGTTTCAACAGCAATAAAATGAACATACAGGTAGCCCAGTTTCGGCCAACAGGGCGAGCTGGCTGAGGGCACCTCTGGGAGAGATTTTCTGGCTCCTACCGAGAGTCACAGGGAAGAGGTGTTCCCCTTGCTCCCTCCGCACATTTCTGGGCCCGACAACGTCCGGGAGTGCCCAGTCACATCGCCGGCACCCTGAGGGAAAGGACCACACAGCGGAGGCCAGAGCCCGCGCCCTCGGTGTCCTGATACGAAGGTAACGCACGTCCCCCAGGAGTTGGGCCAGTGGGCTGGGTTTCCTGTTCCCCGGAGCAGCCTGACGGGGCAGGGGCTCCACAGAGCTTTGACCAAATGGATGCCTACCTTTGCTACAAATGAGGTCACAAGGGGTAACCGGTATAACTTCTTATTTTTTAAAATATACTTGAACTCACTCTTCTTCAGTATAATTCTTTGGCACTGGTTTGGTTAAAAACTATTTCACCTGTTTAGTGACAGTGACAGTTTGAGACAGTGGCTCCCGGCCCTGGCTGGGGAGCACTGAAAAATGCCCCAACGCCTGGGCCCCTCCAGACCAGCCACGGAACCCCCGCAAAAGCCCTGCAGCCCCACGGGCCCAGGCTGGTCCCACCCTGTTTCTCAAACACTCCCAGCTCTCTGCCAGTCCCGGGGCTCCTGCACCCCTCTACTGCCCCCGCCCCCGCCCCATCTGGCAAGGCTGCATCCGCTCGGTTCTCCTGCCCATCTGATCGCAGCGGGACCCCGACCCCTCTCACTCGTCTGACCGTCTCGGCTGCTGTGTGTGCGCAATTGTTGTTTATCACCACACAGAGGGACAGAGCCTGGGGCCATGAACACACAATACAATATACAGATGATGTACTATAGAACTGTACCCCCGAAAGCTATATAATTGTATTGCCCAATATCACCCCAATGAATTCAAATAGGTAGTAATTTTAAAAATAACCAAAAAAGAAAAAAAAGGAACAGAGCTATCCCATTTGAATACAGAGCTTCCGTAAAATAGCAAGGGCTGTGCGATTTCAGGGAGACAGATAATTTCCAGGAAGCACAGTCAAGGGAGGTTTTGTGGACTCTCTAAATTAGGTCTTGACATCGGGTGGAATCTGATTTGCTGAGGTGGGCGTGGCGGTACTTGAGGAAGCAGAAGCACCGTGAGGGAGGGGAGGACGTGCGAAACGTGCGGGAACACCCGGGAAAAGTGAGGGGCCGGCAGACGAGGGCGGCCGGGAGGGGGCCTCCCCGGAGGGTTAGATCCGATGGGAGAAGGTAAGAAAGAGAGGGTCTGTGTTGAGTGACAGCTCCATTACGTGTCAGGGAGTAACTCCAGCTGGGGTGGGAACGGAGGTGGCTACAGAACTGGGGGAAGGGAGGAAGTAAAACGCATCTCACCGGTGAGTACACAGGCCTAAGGAAAGGTACGTAAAAAACATAATTACCTGATCAACCACCACCACTTGGGGGCGCTGCAGGCTTCCCGACCAAACCGGTCCGTCCCGTCCCAGCTCCTCCCTCTTCTGGCAGAAGAGAACTCTGCAGACTCAAATGCCATCCTTTCATCCGAAGGCCCTTGCCACTGTGAACAATACTTCTTTGAAAGCCCTATTTATAACTTGATGAGGACTTTGTTGTACTTTCAGAGAAGACGTAAAAAGGAACACTGAATCTACAAGGCACACATTTTTTCCCAGTACATTCAAGGCTCACACAGTTGCATCCACACAAATGAATCCTCACCTGACGTGAAACAAAACCCTGGGGGTGTTTGCAGGCTCACCGGCCATTCAGTAAAACCCATCGAGTCCAGCATCTCCCCAGACAGAGGAGGGTTCCTTGATGGCGGGAACTTGCCATCAACCACTCTCACTGGAACTCCGGACATGCTAGGATTTGTTGGGGAGTGTCGTAAATGTCCACTAGGGGTTGTGTGGCCCTGGTGGCTTTTTTTGTTGTTGAGAAAATTACATAAAAGGTACTTTTCCTTTACTTAAAATGAAAGGATGTTAGAACTGTCAAAGCTATAGAAGACACAAAGTAAAAAAAGCTAGGTGCAGGATGCTACCTTCTGTGTGAGGGAGAATTCACTGTCGTCCGCACACGCACAGAGGAACTGCGAAGGGCACACTGGGTGGGTGGGTGGGATACAGGGTGGAAGTCTTTTCCCTAGGTGCTCTTTAAGCTTTTTCCGTGTCTGAAACGCATGAACGTATTGCCTATTAACAGAATTAAAAGACAGGGAATAACAAATACAGTAGTCACGAATCAGGTTACAAAAATAAGTTCTAATGCTTTCTTCTGAAAAAGTGTGTAATGCTTCACAAACTTGCATGTTGTCCTTGCTCAGAACCCACACTAGTTCTCTGTACCGTTCCCATTTTAATAAATGTGCTACCGGAGGGATCACTAAGGTGGATGATTTTTAATCTTGCCCAGCAACCTTATTAAGTATGTGTCTTGTATTTAAACTATCCTTTCAAAATAAGGATGTGTACCTGGCAGCAGCACAGCAGCAGCAAACACCTGGAAATGAATGCAGGCATACAGATTAAACAAATCATACCGCATCCACACAGTGGAGTGCTAGCAAGAGTATTAACAAGGCAGAACGTGTATAAGGGATCCATGGACAAAGCCAAAGGGGAGGGACTGAGTGGGAGGTGGCGGTGAGAGGTAAAGTGGTGACAGGAAAATGGAGATGACTGTACCTGGATAAAAAAAAAAGCTGATGGAAACAGACTCAAATCCTTGTGGTCTTATATGGCTGCAGACTTTGGTGACGTGTAAGTTAACGTGTAAAGCAAGCTTTTATTGTGTATACATGTATGCAAATAATACGGCAGAGGTATTACACAGTCCCCCAAGATAGGATATTAATTAAAAGTTGTCATCACCCTGGAGTTGGGTGGAGCATTGGGCCAATACACCAAGGATGTAGTTTGATCCCAAATCAGAGTACATCCAAGAATCAACCAATGAATATACAAGTGGAACAAGTCAATGTTCCTCTCTCCCCAAAACCAATTAAAAAAGAAAGTTATCACAGGGAAGTAAAAATGGGTAATTAGGAGTTTAGGTGGATATCTTTTATTAAACACACAACGTATGTACACACTATAACCTATGAGAGAAGTTTATGCTTTTTTCCTGGGAATAAGCTTGTATGGAACTTTCTACATCTTCTGGAGGGGAAGGTAGAGAAACAGATCGTTTGCCTCTCAGGCCTCTGGGCCTGCAACCCAGGCATGTGTTCTGACCAGCAATCAAACCAGCGCCTTTTTGCTCTGGTTTTCTGTGTGTTTGTAGTTATTTGTGACTACCAATTTTCACAGTTGACAGCAGCATGATAGTTCAAGCAGCCAAAGGTCCAGTGCTCTTTGGAGCTCCCCCACCCCTGCAACACCCAGGCTTTGACTAATTTTCTGGTGCGCCCATTCCAGGACCCTTCCAGCTCTGGGCAATGCTGGCAGGCTCTCCATTTGCCTCCATCTCGTCTCAAGACATGAGGTGTAATGAGATGACCCACCCCCCCTTTCAACTAACTACTGAACTTACAGTTGAACATTGATGGACTCATCACTTCAGAAATCCGCAGTAATTCTGGTCCTCCAGCGGTCAACCTGCTGACTTCAAATATTTTAGGACTAGTGGAAACAATTTTCGTCTACATGATTTTACAAAGGGATACCCTAAAACTTGAGTGGAAGGAAGCAGTGAAAGGGCTGGTGCAACCTCAAGTCCTCTAACAGGACTGGTTTCTTTCTGGGTGCCTACTCCTTATTAAGCCAGCTTCCCTGCAAATTTCCTTTGGCTCTCTTTATCAAATACAGTATTCCTTACCAGCATGATTGTGCAAAAACAAATTGAGAATTCTTGACACTTTACCAAATGTTATCAGCTTTCATTTCCTAAATAACCACTAAATAATGCCCAACTAGACTTAAATACGAATCACCTGTTAAGTCTGGCCAGGTCACATGGTTTTCTACGCACCTGTAACTTTGAGCTGTTATTCAAGTTGATTCCGTATCTGTTCCCTACAACCACCTCCACCCTTTAAAAAAAAAACACACACACAAAACTTTCTGGTATCCCAGGAAACTTTCCCACTGAGCTACCTCACAACACCCCCAAACTCAGTATTTTTAAAGTTAGTAGTTTACTAATAAATCTACATTTACCTGAACACAGGAAAACTTCTAACTACAGCCTCCAATTTGCTGGGTGTTTGTTTGTTTTCCTTACCCACCAATTGCAGTTCTAAATTTAGGCCACCTCCCACTAGCATTTTTAACCAGTTACCACAGAATGTTATTTAAAACCTTCACCCCTCAAACCCAATCCTAAAAATAGAAAGACCCTAAAACACTGGTGAAGGGCGATTAAAAAAAAAGTTACACAACATTGGAATGCAACAACTTTATTGAAACAAAGTGCAATTAAACGTGTTGAAAGCTTCAAAGGGGAAACTTAGAAACCCCCCCTCAAGCGCAGGACCAGGTGCAGGGTGGACTCCTTCTGGATGTTGTAGTCGGACAGGGTGCGCCCGTCTTCCAGCTGCTTGCCAGCGAAGATCAGCCGCTGCTGGTCTGGGGGGATACCCTCCTTGTCTTGGATCTTGGCCTTGACGTTCTCGATGGTGTCACTGGGCTCGACCTCCAGGGTGATGGTCTTGCCGGTCAAGGTCTTCACGAAGATCTGCATCCCCCCTCGGAGGCGCAGGACCAGGTGCAGGGTGGACTCCTTCTGGATGTTGTAGTCGGACAGGGTGCGCCCATCTTCCAGCTGCTTGCCGGCGAAGATCAGCCGCTGCTGGTCAGGGGGGATGCCCTCCTTGTCCTGGATCTTGGCCTTGACGTTCTCGATGGTGTCACTGGGCTCAACCTCAAGAGTGATGGTCTTACCGGTCAAGGTCTTCACGAAGATCTGCATCCCCCCTCGGAGGCGCAGGACCAGGTGCAGGGTGGACTCCTTCTGGATGTTGTAGTCGGACAGGGTGCGCCCATCTTCCAGCTGCTTGCCAGCGAAGATCAGCCGCTGCTGGTCTGGGGGGATGCCCTCCTTGTCCTGGATCTTGGCCTTGACGTTCTCGATGGTGTCACTGGGCTCGACCTCAAGAGTGATGGTCTTACCGGTCAAGGTCTTCACGAAGATCTGCATCCCCCCTCGGAGGCGCAGGACCAGGTGCAGGGTGGACTCCTTCTGGATGTTGTAGTCGGACAGGGTGCGCCCGTCTTCCAGCTGCTTGCCGGCGAAGATCAGCCGCTGCTGGTCTGGGGGGATGCCCTCCTTGTCCTGGATCTTGGCCTTGACGTTCTCGATGGTGTCACTGGGCTCGACCTCAAGAGTGATGGTCTTACCGGTCAAGGTCTTCACGAAGATCTGCATCCCCCCCTCGGAGGCGCAGGACCAGGTGCAGGGTGGACTCCTTCTGGATGTTGTAGTCGGACAAGGGTGCGCCCGTCTTCCAGCTGCTTGCCGGCGAAGATCAGCCGCTGCTGGTCAGGGGGGATGCCCTCCTTGTCCTGGATCTTGGCCTTGACGTTCTCGATGGTGTCACTGGGCTCGACCTCAAGAGTGATGGTCTTACCGGTCAAGGTCTTCACGAAGATCTGCATCCCCCCCTCGGAGGCGCAGGACCAGGTGCAGGGTGGACTCCTTCTGGATGTTGTAGTCGGACAGGGTGCGCCCGTCTTCCAGCTGCTTGCCGGCGAAGATCAGCCGCTGCTGGTCAGGGGGGATGCCCTCCTTGTCCTGGATCTTGGCCTTGACATTCTCGATGGTGTCACTGGGCTCGACCTCAAGGGTGATGGTCTTGCCGGTCAAGGTCTTCACGAAGATCTGCATCCCCCCTCGGAGGCGCAGGACCAGGTGCAGGGTGGACTCCTTCTGGATGTTGTAGTCGGACAGGGTGCGCCCGTCTTCCAGCTGCTTGCCGGCGAAGATCAGCCGCTGCTGGTCAGGGGGGATGCCCTCCTTGTCCTGGATCTTGGCCTTGACGTTCTCGATGGTGTCACTGGGCTCGACCTCAAGAGTGATGGTCTTACCGGTCAAGGTCTTCACGAAGATCTGCATTGTCTGTTAGAAGGAAAAAATGAAACAAACAAAAACCCCGACAGTTTAGCAGAGAAGTCACATCTCAACACATTCCTAAGGCTAGAAATGTCCTTGGGCACCGCCGAGTAGCCAACACAAGACGCTCCCCTAAGCCTGTGCAGCTTCCACGCCACGCACTGTAAAAACCGACCTTGAAACCTGTGCCCTTACTAACCGAGCTCACCCAAGACGCCAAGTAAAAAACGGTCGCGCCTCAGGAAGTGAGCCAAAGCCACCGGGACGGAAGTCAAAACCCCGAGCTTCGGTCCTCACACCGGAAAAGCTGCGGGACCGGACCGGACCGGGTGCACTGCGGGCCTCACGCACCGCACGGACCCCACACCCCGCCTGCTGTCCCGCGAACGCGGCCGGTGGGAGCCAGGCCCGCGCCCTGCGCCGCCTCGCGGCCGGCGCCGACCTGCCCCGCCACCCCCGCCCCCGCCGGCAGGGGCCCCGCCCGCCACTGTGAGCCCACACCGGGGTGACGTCACGCGGCCGCGGGCCCCGCCGCGGGGCAGGGCCGCTCGAGGGGCACCGACCTGGCTAGAGCCCCCCTCGCGGCGGCGGCGTCCAAAAACCGAGGTTCCCGACCCGTGAGGCTGCGCGACAGGCTTCACGCTCAACCCTCCGACACCGCCCGGCCCGGCCCTAACCCTGCGCTGTCCCGCGGCTCCGGAGCCCAAACCTTCCCCGTTCCTTCTGCCTCCTCAGCCCCCTCGTGTTCTCGCCGCCCCCACAGCCCGCTTCACGGGCCGGCGGCGCGGCGGCGGCCGCCGCCATTTTACGCCGTTCCTCCCCCTCAGGGCCGCCCGTCCGGCTCCCGCGCCCCGAGCGACTGGAAGCCCCGGCTGCCCTCCGCCCCCTGGCCCCCCGTTCCCCCCGCCCTGCAACCGCCGGGCAACCGCGAGCCCCCCGGCCAGCGTAGCGGCCGCTCCTCACCAAGTGACGGCGGCAGCAACACACAGAGGACTACGGAAACAGAACTCTGGATCTGCACGGAACTGCCTGCGCCACGCCCGGCGCCTCTTTATATAGCAACCGGCGGGGCCGCGCCAGGTAGATCCCTCCGCAGAAACGCCGAGAAGGAACTACTTTTCTCAGCCGGTCTGCTGTCTGGGGAGACAGCCAGTTCCTCGGCGTCATAGAAATCCGTTCCTAAAATGTTCTCCTGGGAAGTCTGGAATTTTCTGCTGAACCCGGTGGTTAGTGGGCCGCTCTCTTCAGTGTCACAGTGTCTCCACACGTGGCGGAGGGATCAACGCGTTCACTGCGCGCTACGTTCGCGGACGTGGCGGGCGCTCGACTTGATTGGCGGGTGGCCGCCAGCGAGGGCGGGGGCCGCGAAAACCCGGCATGGAACCTTCGGGCTCCCGGAGCGGGTGGGCGCCCCGCGTCGCCTCGTCAGGGCCCGACGCCCCCTCTCCTCAGCCCTAACGGTCCCCGCCGTTCTGGGGTCCCACCGTTGGCGGGCAAGGGTCAGGCCCAGAACCTCGCGCAGAGTCGGGGTCCGGCTCCCTTCCGGGGCGCCCCGCCCGCCCCTCCCCCCCCGAAACAGAGGGGGTCTTTATTTTGGGGTCACGTTTAACATAATGACATGTTTCTGTCCCCCTAAACTCCCCTCCACTCCGAGGCCGGTGGCGAGGGCCACCCAGCCCCCCAGCCTCAGGCGTCCCCGCAGCGGGCGGCGGCCGCGCCCATCCCCCCGCGGCGCGGGCGCCGGGACAAGGCCAATGACTCGGCAAATCTCCGCTCGGGGCCTGGACGCCTGGGCGAGGCCTCCGTCCCGGGGCGGGGGAGGGGGGGACCCCGCGGGACTTTCTCGGAACGAACGATCGGGGGGGGGATGCTGGGGGTGGGTCTGTATCGCATTTTGGAAAGAAAGGTGAAACGTCCACCGCTCTGTAAGAGCAGTGGAGCTGGACCCCCGAAAGCCGACGCGGACAGAAGTTTCTAGACTGGTTTCCCCTCCCCGCTGGGCCTGCGCGCAGCCTGGGGGGCACTCGGTGCCCGGGCTCGGGGCGCAGCCCCTGCCGTGTCCCCGAACTCAGAAATCGGACCTGCTGAAGCCCGAGGTTGTCCAAGACGCCCATTGACTCTCAGCTCTGTGTGTTTGGGGAGGGGAAAAATGGGTTTAATATCCCAAACAGGGAATCTAATTCTGCCAGCAAACTCCATTGGGGGTCAAAGAGGAGAAGAAAAGATCACCAGCCAGATGTTTTTGCTCTGTGTCATATAATACATATGTAATATTATATATGTATTATATTATACAGGTATATAATATATATTGTTTTAAAAATACTTGAACATGGTGAAAAGCTTTTTAAAAAGTTTTTTAAAGTTTCCAGGGAAAAGCTTTGCTCGTGCCCTTCATTGGGTAGTCACTTCCTGCTGGACTCTTCTAGAAAAACTCCCTGTCTCTAAAAATTGGTAATGGAGGGGATATTTTAATTTCTACCCTGTTACGACCTTTAAGAACGAAAAAAGAAATCCGAAGAGGTTACCAGAAGCATGACTAACCCTCGGCCCGTTTCCCTGGGTCTGTTCCCGAAGTCACTAAAAAAAATCCGTGCCATTAGGAAAAGATTACATTCCCGGTTTGAATTGGGAGCATTACATTATTTAAACATTATACCTTAAACTGTGAGTCCAACCGAAACAAAAGTATTTATTTATTTATTTATTTTTTGGGCAACCAACGGATGTCTGCGTTCTGAAAAACGCCTTGAGCCGAGCAAAGTAGACTTCACCCTCTGCTGTTTTTCAGCATCTTTCCAAGAGAATAAATGCATCACTGGGGAAAATAAACGAGAGAAAACGTCTTTTTCCGCGTTCGCAGGAGACCCCAGGGGCTGCCCGTACAGGCAGATGTCCGCCAAGATGATTTCCTCCCCAATCCCTGCGAAGAGGGGGGTTACAGGAACAAAACTTGGAGGCTCCTCGCGGGGCTCTTTGTCCCTGAGCCTCAGGGAGACATTTTTTAGGGCCCCCAGACGCGGCGGTTCTTGCGCGGGGACCGGGCGCCGCTCGCAGCCACGCCCTGTTTGCTTCGGGCCGCGGCAGCCTCGTGACCCGCGTCGTTTCAAGGCTGAGTCACGGGCTTGGAGACGCAGCTCTTTTGGGTCCAAAGGTGCGGAGGAAAAACAGCCCTGGGGTCAGAGGGCGGAGGGGAGGGAAGACCCAGGCTGGGAGGGTGGGGAGTCGGCCCAGGGTCACCGTGGGAGAGAAAACAATATTCTTATGAGCCGGGGAGCTCATAAGAATATGGAGCTGCCTCCTTAGCGGGGAACACGACTACCCGAAGTACCCCTGCCCTCCCCGGAACCGAAGTCCCGCTTTGGGTTTTGGCCCCGTCGATAGACGTAAACATGTGCCCGAGGACAGTGAGGTGAGACGAGAAACACGACCTGCCCAGAGAGAGGCGGTTCCAAGAGATCTGGGGTTCTCGCCCCCGGATGGAAAAGAATTTAGGCCAGGGGCACAGATCCGAGCAAAGGCAGATCATACTGAGGCTCCGCTGAGGGCAAAAACGGGGAGATAGGGCCTCAGGGTCTGCACCCCAAGTGTGAGGCCTAGGCGTGTTTATTCCTCGGGGACTTGGAAGGGGCTGGGGTTAGCCAGTCACGGTGAAGGCTGGCTGGCTCTTTCCTCGTTGGGAACGCTGGGGTCCTGGGGAGCATCGGTAAAGCAAGGCATTCTGGGATTGTGCGAGACTTATTATGGGATGCAGGGAGGGACTTTCCCAACCGGGTATTTTGAGTTTGTCTCTAGGGTTTGCGGCTTGGCTTTAGATATGAAAAAAAAAAAAAAAAAAAAAAACCGTAAAAGAAGTCAGGGTAGTTTCCTGGACCATTGATTTCATAGCAACGTGCTCGTACTGCCAAAATTCGGGCAGGGCTTGCGACAGAGTGATTTGGGGGGACCATTTTACTCTGCCCATTTCAAGGTGGCCGGTGTTTCTCTAGAACCGTGGGTCTCACCCGGGACTGAGCTGGTCCCCCAGTGGACATCCGGCAGTGTCTGCAGATACTGTTTTGGTTCTCACAACTGGGTGGGGGGCGGAGGAGTGCCGTATCCCGGTATGGCACTACTAGCGGCTGGCAGTAGAGGCCAGGGGTGCTGCTCAGCACCCTAAAATGGGACAGTCTCCCACAACTCAGTCACCTGGCCCCAAGGGTCAGTAACGCTGAGGTTCAGAAACCCTGGTCTACAGAGGTTGCTGCTGCTTCTTGTTGTGGCAACTGCTTTTCTGTTTGCCGAGGAGGGCTCCCAACGTGTCCCACTGGGTCTCGGGAATCAGGTGTCAGGTCACGCTCCTAACCCTAAAATCCCTTGACCTGGAATGCAATGTGCTAGAAGGTGCCAGAAGCAGGATGAGTCACTGGATCCGTTTCCAGGCCCTTCCTCCCAGACCCGTCCTTGGCAGGCGCCCCAGAAGAAACTGCTTCGGAGCCGCCACCAATGAGAGGGGGACGGAAGCCCAGCAACACGGCTGGATTGGCGGGCAGGCGGGGCACGTGACGCGCGGAGCTCACAAAGGGCCCGGGTGTTGGGCTGGGGGCGGGGAGGCGGGGAGGCCGGGGCTGGACCGGCACCGGTTTGTCTGCTTTTCTTCCTTCCCCGCAAAGACTCCAGTTCCCCTGAAGGGCACGAGCTCATATGGGGCTTAACTCAGCACCGTGGGAATGTTCCAGAACACAAAGACTGGCAGACCTTTCCCCCTGGAGAGCTGGAAGGGAAAGGTTTGCCTTGCTTTGTCATCGGTTATATAACCATAAAAGGTAGTCAAGGGCATCCGCAGCTTCAGAGGGAAAAAACACCGCAGCGGGCCGCGGGACTCGGTCCCTTTTCCTGTTGACGTTGGTGCATTTGCCTCACGAGGCAGAACACGAACCGCCTCGGCTTAAAAATAACCAATCTCTTCCTCTAGCCTGTTCGGGCTTTTAAAAAAATTGTGGCCAAGGACGCAAAACGAAGTTTACCAGCTCAACTATTTTCAGCTCAGTAGTGCTAAGAGAATTGTCAGGGAGGAAAAATAATTTGCTTTTCTGGCTCCTTAGAGACCCCCGTGATGGCAGATAATAAGAGGAAGAAAACCCAGAAGTTCCCTAACAGGCTTTACTTCCCCTGCACTTGGGAGATGCCCTGGGGAAATGAGTAACTCAAGGGCTTGCTTTGGATTTGGGGCTTAAACACCACAGGGAAAAGGGGAGAGGGATCCAGGCCTCTTAGGACAGAGCGAGCAATCTTTAGGGAAGACAAATGGGAGAACAGAGTGGTTGGGGTATGTGACAGTTCGTGACGGAGTTGGGTGTCCACTCCCAGTCCCCCTCCTGTGACGAGACCCAGTCCTCCCGGTCCGTGAGACCCGGGAGGACCCGTGACCACTCAGGTCCTTGTGGAGGATCTGTCCCGAGGTGGATAAAAGGATTTGGTGAGTGGCTGTCCCTGCATTTGCTGGTTTTCCAGTGCCTTCAGCTCAAAATAATATCAAAGCGGACTATTTTGGGGAGGCATAGTCGGCTGCCCTTCACCACTCGCGTTGCCATGCAACCGTCACTGCCCTCCCTCTCCAGAACCGTTTTCATCTTGCAAAACTGAAACTCTGTACCCACTGATTAAACAACTCTCCGTTGCCCCATCTTCCCAGCCCAGGGCAGCCACCGTTCTACTCCCTGTCTCTGCAAATGTGGCTCTTCTAGGTCGCTCAGATAATGGGCTTTGTTGTGTTTTGTTTTGTTTTTAATGTAAAATAAAATGTCCTTGCTAAAATATTTTTTTTCAAAGATTCACAACAACTTTTCTAGGAAGCTCCATTTTCCAACACAAGCCTCATGTTGTTATTTTCCTTAAGGTATTTCTTCCTTGTCATTGTGTTCGTAGAAATGTTTAATTATATTCCTAGTTGGTGTGGCTCCGTGGACTGAGTGCCAGCCTGCAAGCCAAAGGGTCACCGCTTCCGTCCTGGTCAAGGCACATGCCTGGGTTGTAGGCCAGGTCCCCAGTGGGGGGCGCGTGAGGGGCAACCACACATGGATGTTTCTCTCCCCCTCTCTCTAAAAATAAAATCTTGTAAAAAAGAAACATTTAAC